GGGAGGGTTATAGGACTAAAGCAAGTATCTTTCTGGTGCTCACATATGACATGTTGCATGCACTTTGCATTACATCTGGGAAACTCCAATGACTCAGAGCTGTAAGGGTGGGCCTACCTGCCTTGGAAAAAGGAATAATATCCCATGGAGGATATTCTGCTGGACTTCCCAATTCCCAGGAAGCAAAGCACTGGAGGTTGGTTCTGTCTTTGGTCCAGGTGGAAGGGTGCAGTTTTTGTCATCTGCAAATCAACCTCCAGCAGTTAGCGCTCACTGTTGTTCATTTGCTCAGGAGCTTTCTGTCAAGGGGGAGGGAACTAGGTCAGAAGCACAAGGAACTATTTATGGGCTTTGGCCTTTGGAAAGCAGTCTTATCCTGTTTACACATTCTCTTCAGGTTTGCACAATCTGACCACAGATATGTTGCCTGCCAAGCCCAGGTAAATACAGGCAGCTAAGTACTCTCCAATCAGCCATTGCTATTGAACAACCAGAGGGTCCAGAACCCTATACTGTAGAGACAACTGTGATAACTATACAAGAGCAACTGAAGGCTCCTGGCCTTGGACTGTGGAGCAGAAGTGTATTCCTACCTGATGGAGGAGGCCATGCAGTGTAAGCTCTGAGCCCTTCTCTGGTGTGACTCTGGGTCTAGATGCCCTTCCTAGCACCTACCCAGTTACACCCTGAATTGAGGTGTCAGCACCAGAATGAACCCTAATTTATCTTACATGGTGAGAGGAGGAAGAAGGAAGTCTCTTATTCAGCACTGAAGAGCTGGATGAACTGAGAGCTGGACGAACCGGGAATCCTTCAGAAAATAAAATTGCAGGGAAAAAGGTGCCCATGTTTGGATCACCTTCTTCAAAGAGTCAGGTGAAAAAAGACTGATGATGCAGGGCAAAAAAAAAGGCTGTGTGTGTGTGTGTGTGTGTGTGTGCATGCACGCATGTGTATGTATGTATGTATGTATGGAGGAGCAGGTGGGTGAGAATGGAGAAAGAGAGATGGAATGAGCAGGTAGAGGAAGAGGGAAATGAAGGCTGAGGGAGAGGGAGAGGTAAGCGAGGGAAGAGGCAGCCTGGTTGTTCTCAAAGCCAAGGAAGACAGCTCTCGGATCACTGATCTGAATGTGTTGCTGCCAAGTCTCCAGAGGCCAAAAAGCCTGGGTCAGCCTGTCCAGAACTGGATCTTCTAATCCTGAAACCACAGAATGAAACCACCCACCTTCCACCTCTTTTCCACCAGCTATTTCAGACTCCCATCTCATATCCTGCCCTCATTTCCAACATTATTTTTGTTTCATATGGTAAGGAGGTGAGGGGACAATGTTTGTGTAGGGAATGGCAAATAGGTAAAGCCACTTTGCAAAATGGAGGAAAGAATTTGAGAAATGGCCCAAACTCCCACCAATAGCTCTGCAACTGAGGTGAGGCTTTTACCGACTAGGACTGGACTGGTGGGGTTCAAATAAAATAATGTATGTGCACTTGTTGAACCTAGCCCTGTCCCTTGGGACCAAATAAATACATTTGTTCTTTCTCAGTGGTAGATAGTGTCCTTAGCTTGGGGACTCCTACCATCTTAATCTAAGACCTTTTCTCCTCAATGGATTTCCTGCTTCTACCCTTGCCTCCCAGAGTTGACTCTCCACACAGCAGCCACAGTGAGATCTTTATAAAAACACTCGAGGCCTAATGCATGAAATTTGTGCAGCGGGGGAGGTCCCTTCAGCCCATCCTGCATCTTCTCCAATCTGGGACATCCCTCTCACAATCCTGGACCACTGGCTCCTAATTGCTCACCTGCCTGCCTGCCTGGTTGCCCCTAACTGCCTCCCGCTGCCGGCCTGGTTGTCCCTGCCTCTGTGTGCCAGCCTGATCACCTCTAACTGCCCCCACCCCCCGGCCTGGTCGCTCCCAACTGTCCTCCTCGCCGGCCTAGTCGCCCCTCATTGCCCCTCCTCCCCCCGCTAGCCTAATTGCCCCCAACTGCCCCCTCTGCTGGCCTGGTCACCCCCACCTGTCCCTCCCTGCTGGCCTGGTAACCCCACACAGCCTGCTTTTTTAGTCGTTTGGTCATCCCTTACTAACCCCCTGCTGGCCTGGTTGTAGGCAGCCATCTTGTGAGATTGTGAGGGTCAATTTGCATATTACCTCTTTATTAGGTATATAGAATAAATAGTATTTTTTACTTTTATTTTAAAAAATATATTTTATTGCTTTTTTACAGAGAGGAAGAGAGAGGGATAGAGAGCTAGAAACATTGATGAGAGAGAATCATTGATCAGCTGCCTCTTGCACACCTCCTACTGGGGATGTGCCCGCAACCAAGGTACATGCCCTTGACTGGAATGGAACCGGGACCCTTCAGTCTGCAGGCCGACGCCCTATCCACTGAACTGAACTGGTTTTGGCTAAATTGTATTATTATTATTATTTTTAAAAAATATATTTTATTGATTTTGTACAGAGAGGAAGGGAGAGAGATAGTTAGAAACATCGATGAGAGTCATCGATCAGCTGCCTCTTGCACACCCCCTACCGGGGATATGCCTGCAACCAAGGTACATGCCCTTGACTGAAATCGAACCCGGGACCCTTCAGTCCCCAAGTCGATGCTCTATCCATTGAGCCAAATTGGTCCCGGCTAAATTGTGTTTTTAAATTAAAAAATTTTTTTTTTATTGTTTAAAGTATTACATGTAGTAGTATATATATCTCTTTTATTTCCCCCATTGACCTACCCTCAGCCTCTCCTACTCCCTTTCGCATGACCCCCTCCCCCCAGTGTCTTGTGCCCATTTGTTGTGCTTACATGCATGCATAAAGTCCTTTGGTTGATCTTGCCACTCTCCTGTTTAAAACTCTTCAAATGTCCCAATCAAACTTAAAAATATATATATTTTTGATTTCAGAGAAGAAGGGAGAAGGAGAGATAGAAACATCAATGATGAGAGAGAATCATTGATCAGTTGCCTTCTGCTCACCCCACACTGGGGATTGAGCCCACAACCCGGCATGTGCCCTGACTGGGAATCAAACCGTGACCTCCTGGTTCATAAGTCCATGTTTAACCCCTGAACCACACCGGCCAGGTCCCCATCACACTTTAAAAAAAAAAATTTTATTGATTTTTTACAGAGAGGAAGTTAGAAACATCGATGAGAGAGGGACATCGATCAGCTGCCTCCTGCACACCCCCGACTGGGGATGTGCCTGCAACCAAGGTATATGCCCTTGACCAGAATTGAACCCGGGACACTTCAGTCTGCAGGCCAACGATCTACCCACTGAGCCAAATCGGTCTTGGCCCTATCACACTTTTAAGGTAGAAGTTAAATACTTTACTATAAGTTATTAGGCCCTAACAAGATGGACTCTGCTGACTTTATCTCCTATGGCCTGCTCTGCTGCAGCTGCCCTGACCTTTGTTCCTAAGCTCATCAAGACTGTTGTTGGGCCTCAGGGCTTTTGCACTGGCTATTCCCCTTGCCGGGAATTCCCTCTGTTCCAGTTACCTGTCACAGAGGTCCTGACTCACGAAATGAGTCACTTTATCCCATTGGCTTCATAGCAAATGGTAATGACACTCAACCATTCTGTCATTTGTGTACTTGCTTAATGTCTGTTTTCCCACAACACAGCCCTGAAGGGAGGCCACTGTATCTATCTGGTCCATCACGGAACCTCTAGTGCTAAGCAGAGCCTGGCACATAGCAGATCTCCAACAGTTGTTGGATAAATGATCTTTTCAAATCCTAAGTCTTTTGACATATGGGCAAAAGGGCCCTCAGGCTCAGGACCAGAGCTCTGTTCTGTGTGAACACAGCGGTCGCCTTCCTTCCCAGGACGCACCAGGCCACCGGGAGCAGCTCCTGACCTTTCTACACACCCAATGCCCCTCTCCAGGGAGGACGAGGAGGGTTCCCCACATTTCAGGGGCTCCAAGAAGCCGCCCCTTTCCAAATATGGACCCTGCCTGGTGCCTGAACCCCCTCCCTGAGCCTGCAATTAGGGGCAGAGTGTGGGGGACACCTGGGGGTGTCTATGGTCAAATGGGGCGGGCCTCCCAGGTCCACCGGTAGTAACGGTTCAGTGCCCTCACTCTGGTCCTCGTCTCTAGCCAGGGACCCTCCAGGCCAATGCGGGGGGGCGAGAGGCAGGCGCCAGGCGTCAAGGGCAATGAGGACAGGGAGGCCCGAACGGGGATGGGCGAATTGCGCGCAGCGGAACCTTTCTTCGCCAAGGCCAGGTTTCCTGGCCGGTCCGCTTTGGAAGAGACACCGCACTTAACCGTCCCTCGCGCTCCCCCCTCCCCCCACTTCCGGCTCAGTCTGCAGAGGCTCGCCTTTCTCTCCGCCCGCAGATCGGGGCTGCAGCCGCGGGCGCGTTCCGCATCTCTCCGGGGGGTTCCCCCAGGCGTGGAGCTCCGGAGCCATCGGCAGCTTCTGGCACTTGTGAGCTGCGGTGGGCGCGGGCCCGCGCGTTCCCTCCGGCGGGGGAGGTCGGAGAACAGAGGCTGAGGCAGACTCGGGCCTGAGGCCCGGTGGACCGGGTCCAGGGAGACGCGCCCATCCTTCGCCGAACCGGGCGCGCACGGCCCTCTTGGGACCTCGCCGGCGACCCGTAGTTCGGACGCGCGCCTGTCGCAGGCCGCAGGAAGGAGGGGTCCCGTCTGAGGCCTGGGGCGACGGCCGCTATGGAGATCACCTCGGCCCGGGGCCCGCGCCAGGAGCCTTGGGGGCGGCCCTGACCGCCCTCCTCCCTGCCGGGCCCGGGTCGCGGACGTGCCCCCCGCGGCCGCCCGCCACCCCTGCCTGTCCGCCCTCCCCGGGCCGCGCTGCTGCCTGGGCGCGGCGGCGGCGGCGGCGGCGGCGGCGGCGCCCTGTTGAATGGGCTGCGAGGGCCCGGGTTTGTAGCGCTGGCGGACGCGGCCTCCGGGGGCGCAAGGCAACAGCAGCGGTGGCGACCAAACGGGTGTTGGAGTTGGCGGCGGCCATGGAGGGCCTGGCTGGCTATGTGTACAAGGCGGCCAGCGAGGGCAAGGTGCTGACCCTAGCCGCCTTGCTCCTCAACCGGTCCGAAAGCGACATCCGCTATCTGCTGGGCTACGTCAGCCAGCAAGGAGGGCAGCGCTCTACGCCCCTGATCATCGCCGCCCGCAATGGCCACGCCAAGGTGGTGCGCCTGCTGCTGGAACATTACCGGGTGCAGACGCAGCAGACCGGCACCGTCCGCTTCGACGGGTAGGTACCTCCCAACCCCGGCCTCCTCCCCTGGGCGCGCGGACCGACCGATCTTGGGTCCCTCCCCTCCTTTCCCCCACTCTTTTCCTGGAGGTATCACTTGTCCTCTTTTGTACCTCCTCCTGCCCCATTCATGCCCACTTCATCTTCCGGGGCTAATCCTCCATCCCATGTTTTGCTGCTCATCCTCATCGGCCCCAACATCTTACTTCCTCTGTAGGTACATAGCCACACCCGCTGTTTTGATGTCTAATAGTTTATTCTTCTCTAGATAGTCTGTGAGCAAGCAGTATGAAGGAGGTGGCTGCCTTTTTCAGGTTTTGCCTTTATCAGTGCAGAGGTTGTAACTGACATCAGAAATGAACGAGGTCAGCGTTTAACATTGAAGACCTCTGATGAGTTATTTGGCCAGCCAGTTTTCAAGTTAGTGGGCCTGTGAAGCCCTTAGAGTCAAAACAAGCCCCTAGCGCCTGTAGCAGCACCGCTTCCTAAGGGGTTGGTCACGCAGTCAGGCATCCCCAGACATCACTGACATTCCACATTGCAGGGGGTGCATATATTGGCTATAAAAACGGCACTGAACTGGGTATAGATGATGCCATGGTTAGATTACATGTTACCTGGCGATATTGTGGGGAAGCTTTATAAATTTACTGTTTTTCGTGGTGGGGAGTTCAAAAATTCATATTATCAAAGTTAAAACTTGCCCTTTGGGTTTAATTTGTACATTTTTGGGGAGTACGCTAATGTTGAACACAGAATTGTAAGGTTTGACATTATTCTCTCTTCTGTGCTGGGTGATCATAAAGTGTTTTACAGATTACAACTGCATAAGGATTTTGCTTCATTGATTGCATTTGTTTTTGTTGACTTGTGCCAGAACTTAAGCTGTTTTAATATTTTCTTTTGAGGTAGGTGTAGTCCAAGCATAAAGATAAACGTATTTCTAGTTTTGGTGATTGAAACCTGCTTGGTTAAGACATGATTAAAAAAAATCACTTCTTGAAGATAACTAGGGCATTGTTGAATTTTGATTGATTCTTTTTTAGGTTTAAATAATAAAGGCCTTTCCTTCTGTTTTAGATGAGAGGAAGATATTTTAGAGTATTGCATTTTAATGAAATGATATCCCATAGGTGATGGTTAATCTCTGCTACTACCTCTCTAGACATTAAGGAAATGATTTTCATGTTAACCGAAGATGGCACCCTGATTCATGTAGCTCCTTGCATTCCCAAAGCCTTTCCTGTACCCAGAGGAGTGAAGCAGATAGACCCCTGAACTTCCTGCACCATTCCAGTTGTTTAGGCACAGGCATCCACTGAGATAAGAATCTCTGCCAAAACAGTCCTTGGGAACAGTGCTGCTGAACTTGCTAAGGCCTATTTGGATGAGGGAAGAATAATGGGGAGAAAACATAGTTCTTTAAACATTTGGAAAAGCTTTGCTTTCACCACTGTCTTTCTTAACCATCAAAGAGAAAATTATTTTGACATAGCAATTAAAAGACCTTGAAATGATTAGAAATGGAGCCTATATTGTGGCTTACCTTGCCCAGTAATCTGCACTGGCCTGTGACATTAAGGGGTTCAGTGAGCAAACATTTACTGAACACCTACTGTGTGCTGGGCCCTGTGGTATTAACTGGGTAGGCAGAGATGATTAACATACTGTTCCCACTGTGGAGGAAGACAGTCTAGTTAGGCGGGGGAGAGATAGATATATCAATGAGTAATTGCAGATGCTGTGCCATTTAGAAATCTTTTGAACTACTGAGGAGCACCGGAAGAGGAAGTGCTCAGCTTTGGGGGAATCAGGGAAGGCTTCATAGCCAGGTGATGCTTGAGCTGAGTCTTAAAAGGATTGTAGGAAGTGAAGAAGGGGGTCCGCAGCATAATGTATTTGCAGTGACAAGTGTCTTAGTGCAGTTGCAGGAAGGGATTCAAACCAGGGAAATTAAGACTGAGATTGTGGGAGACAAGAGGGGTGGAGGCCAGATTTTGATCATCTTTGTGTAAAGTATCAAGAGTCACATTGGTGAGATTCCAGTCACAAACATTTCTATCATTCATGATTTCCTCTGAGCCTCCTTGAAGCTTTTTTGTTTATGGATTGTTACAGTTATGAATTTATTAATGGCTATGATAAAATAGTTTAGTATTTTATTTATTAAATGCCTATGCTGGGCCTAGCCCTGTGCCACATTCTATGGAAGATTCAGAAAAATGTAAAGTTCCTACTTTTGACTAATTAACAAAGGAGAATTGAAGTGTATGGCCACTTTTCTGCCCACTCACAGGACTCAGATTATTGTGCAGTTTATCCCAGTCATTGTAGCATTTCAGAACTAGATAAAGAGAGTGTTATAGTAACTGATGATTTCACTTTGTGCTCATTCCAGACATTGTGAAAGTGTTAGCCTGAGGTGTTCACAGAATGAAGCTCACTCATCCCTTAGGGACTGACTTTTGAGGTACTTAGTCAGAGTCCCATTTTTATTTATTTTTGCCTATTTTTAAATTAAAAAAAATATATTTTATTGATTTTAGAGAGGAAGAGAGAGGGAAAGAGAGAGATAGAAACATCAATGATGAGAGAGAATCATTGATTATCTGCCTCCTGCATGACCCCTATTGGGGATTGAGCCTGCAACTCAGGCATGTGCCCTTGCTGGAATCGAACCTGGGACCCTTCAGTCTGCAGGCTGATGCTGTATACATTGAGCCAAACCAGCTAGGGCAATTTTTAAAATTTTAAATATATTTTTATTGATCTCAGAGAGGAAGGAAGAGGGAGATAGAAACATCAGTGATGAGAGAAAATCATTGATTGGCTGCTTGCCCCCTACTGGGGATTAAGCCCATAACCCGGGCATGTGCCCTTGACTGGAATAGAACCTGGGATCCCTCAGACTTCAGGCTGACGCTCTGTCCACCGAGCCAAATCGGCCAGGGCCCTATTTTATTTTTTAATTGAATTTATTGGTGTGATAGCCTATCTAATAAAAGTAATATGCAAATTAACTGTCATTCTGCGGCAAAGATGGCGGCACCCATAGTGGCTGGGGCAGGACACTGATGGCGTCACCCCGACAACGTGAGCCCAGCAGGCATGTGCAGCCTGCAGGCAGCACCCAGCAGGGCCTGCTTGCTCATGGCTGTGGTGTGGAGCAGGCAGATCCTGCAGAGAGCAGAGAACCACAGGGAACGGGCCTAAGCTGTCAGTAGGACATTTCCTGAGGGCTCCTGGATGGAGAGGGTGCAGGTCAGGCTGAGGAACCCTCTCCCCCTGCATGAATTTTGTGCACTGGGCCTCTAGTTGGTTAATAAAATTGTATAGGTTTCAGGTGTACAGTTCTTTAATACATCATCTGTATATTGTTGAGTGGTCACCACCTCAAATCAAGTCTCCTTCCATCTCCATTTATCTCCTCTTTACCCTCTTCTGTCTTCCCCTATCACCTTTCCCTGTGGTAATTACTATACCATTGCCTGTGTCTATGAAGTGTTTTTTCTTAATCCCTTCACCTTTTTTCACCTGTGGTACATTTATACAATGAAATACTACTCGGCTGTGAAAAAGGAAATCTTACTCTTTGTGACAACATGGTTGGACCTGGAGAGTATTATGCTAAGTAAAATAAGCCATTTAGAAAAAGACAAGTACCGTATGATTTCACTTATGTGTGGAATATATTGAACGAAATAAACTAACAAACAAAATAGAAACAGACTCAGATACAAGTAACAGACTTACAGGTGTGTGTGTGTGTGTGTGTGTGTGTGTGTGGTGTCGGGGGGTGGGGGAGGGAGAGGATCGTGTTTTGGGGTTTGAGTGAAAAAGGTGAAGGGATGAAGCTAAACCCCCATTTTTATAGGACATTGACATTTGAGATCCATGGCCAGGAGTAACAAATAGTGTTTTCCAACTTTTAGTTACTTATGTATCGTCTTCATAATTTTTTTGCCAAATTGTTTACCACCTCTTCTGTTATTTGTCAAATATTAAAAACAAAACAAAACACAGTCTCACTTCTTAGCTTTATCCTAAGCAACACACTCAGTATAATTATGGGCTTGACATGGTATGTTTTGTGCGCGCGCGCGCGCGCGCGCGCGCGTGTGTGTGTGTGTGTGTGTGTGTGTGTGTGTGTGTGTGAGAGAGAGAGAATAAAATAACATTGAAAATATAAAGAAAAGGTCTATGTTCTGCCTAAAAACTTCTTTAATACCTTAGGAAACAAAAGTAAATTCATCATAGAACTTCTTTTTTTTTTTTTTTTTTTAATATATTTTATTGATTTTTTACAGAGAGGAAGGAAGAGAGATATAGAGCTAGAAACGTCGGACCAGCTGCCTCTTGCACACCCCCCACCGGGGATGTGCCCGCAACCAACGTACATGCCCCTGACCGGAATTGAACCTGGGACCTTTCAGTCCGCAGACCGACGCTCTACCACTGAGCCAAACCGGTTTTGGCCATCATAGAACTTCAACAGGGAAGGGATTACCCTCCCAGGTTAAGTTCTATGATGATATTTGAGTTCTTGTTCATATATTTGGGAGTAACATTTGAAATTGTTTTTACTTATGGCTTACAATGTGAACAATAAAATAGACACAGATGAGTGGATAAGAAGAAAAGTTACATGAATGGGAATGAAAGAACCTTTAGTTGGAGAATGAGAAAATGTTAAGAATGTTACAAAAATGGATACAGAACAAAGGCTAGGTGTCATGTGATCACACACTATTTTGTTGGCTTGAGTGCTCAGGGCCTGACAGCTCTGTGCCAGAATTTGTAGGAACCTCTATAACTAGGAGAGGTTTGCTGACATAGATGGGAAGGAGAACAGGACCTCTGGGAATTCTGAGGCTTTTTGTTGAGTGCTTTAACTTTTAAAGGCAGTGCTACTGCCCTAGCCAGTTTGGTTCAGTGAATAGAGCATCTGTCAGCCTGTGGAGCAAAGGGTCCCAATTTCGATTCCAGTCAAGGGCATA